GTGGTAATCAATGTAGAGTACTCGTACGCTAGGTCACCTCTTCTTTTTCTTCTTCTTCTCCCCTTTTTCTTTTTGTTGGCGGTGGTTGTGCACTATGTAAATTACCGGTATGTACTGTGATTATGGATCACTGAAGGGATTTTTGTCAAGTTCCCAAGTACTATGATGCCGGAAGTGTGCGTGTACAGTACAGTACAGTACAGTAACAGTACTTTGTCCATCGTCATGGGTTGTATCATATGTGCAGTGAGTACCGCCATCAACCTTCCCCAGTTAATCACGACGCTGAGATTTACTATGAGATACCTGGTTGCGGTCTTTTTCTTTTTTTTTCTTTTTTTTTGAATAGTACGGGGTTTATGATTTATACTTACAAGTATTAGTACTAGTACCGTACAGTGCTTACTTACCGTGCCCCCCCCCCGCCCCGCCCCCGGACGAAAGCCGCCAAAAATCTCTATGATACTATTTCGCAACGGCGCACTCCGACGGTGAGGAAGGAAGGAAGGAAGGAAGGAAGGAAGGGAGTAAACCGGTAAGATAAAGTGAGCCCGGTCCCAAAAGTAGGGAATGCCCGGGCAACGTTATTACCATGCCATGCTACGCCACATATGGTGCTCATAATATATCATACCGGTAAACGTACGGTTACATATTTACGGTACGGTACTGTACGTATCATACTCCTCTTCCTTCTTCTTCTTCTTCTCTCTTCTCCATCTTTGGCATAACCTTTCCATTCCATTCGATCAATCCTTCACTTCTTACTACATCCCTACATCCCTACATCCCTACCTACCTACCCCCCCCCCCCCCCCTACCCATAATAATAATAATAGTAATAATAAATAGGGATTTAGAACACTTACGACCGTCCCATGGCATACCGGTTCACGCACCGGTCTTGCAGTAGTCATAAGAAGGAAAGAGGTTACGTGGAAAGGGTCGGGAGTTTATCTGGACTCGACAAAAAAAAAAAAAAAAAAACTACCCGCCCGTGGGGGGTGAGAGAGGGAAGGGAAGTGGTGTATTAGGTAGGAATTCACCGATGATTCAAAAAAAAAAAAAAGAACGAACGAACTAAAGGAGGAACTGTTGGCGAGAGGACTTGCGATATCGGGAGTGTGTGTATGTACTTTATATATATAATACATACATATACAAGTACTCGAAGTGGAACTTTTTCCATTCATCCCATTCCATTTCGCTGACTAGAAATTGCATTTCTTATAGCTTTTGGAATTGAATAGGGTTGGATGTTTTATACTCTTGCAGCTATGATACATTAACTAACTCACACTTTCTCCGTAAGGGCCAATCTCGAGATCCCCCCCCCTCCATCCACGGCATGACGGTGCCAAACGCGTTCATCCATCCTGCACGGGAGTCAAGGTGGTGAGCTTTCCGGGAATCGCATAACAAACAAGCCTTGGAGATCCACAAGGGGGAGGGGGAGCGGGGGGGTTGGCTTTGTAACCGTATACATGGTATATTGTGTGTGTCGTTCGTTCCGCGGAGCGTGATTCCCCCTGCTTGGGACTATGGCTACAATATCTATGTGCGTATTGTTAATATGGGAGAAGGCGGTGGTGGTGGGGATCTGGAACTCGTTTGTGGGGGGTGGGTGGAGTTACGCATTGGTCCGAATGATTGACCGACCCGTTGCTACGATCATTTCTCCGGTCGGTGCTACCGTGGTGTCGTGGACTCGTGGCGCGTTGCCTTGTTGGGGGGGGGATGAGATGGTTTACGATATATCAGCCAAGTTGCGGTTTAGCACTAAAAGGAGGTTTTTCGTTATGGGGTGTGATACCGTATGCGCCTTCCTCTCTCTCTCCCTCGGATATGGGTATCAGTCGGTCGGGTGTTGAACCAAAGAGATCTAGTTAGGAGAATAACGAGATCTGGAAAGAATCATTCCCTAACCGGAAATGAATTGCTGGGAGTTTCAACCCGAGACCTATCCTCCCCGTCTCTTGGGCGCCCTGACGGACCAAGGAATAGGGGACTTCTCGCTGACGATTAACGCTATCGGAAACGGCCGCTGGCCTGTTTAGAAACGTGCCATTGAATTAATTTATTATCAAGCGGTACTGTAATACCACAGTAATTTACATAACAACCGTGATCCAACTCGTGTGGTGTCACAAAAAACACGCTTCAGAGCATACGGTACACGTATTAGTACTCGAGTACCAGGCAAAATGAACCCGAACGCAGGGATTAAAAATTTGTATGGCAAATTGTCCGTGCACATCTGAGCGCTCATGCTAAATTCGGACACAAACGTTCGGGTTCATTATGCCTGGTACGTGCAGCTGGGAGCCATTCACTTATTCCCCTGGGTGGGCCTGCATTGTTTCAGTGTAACTACCAGTATTGCGGTCCGATGAGCGGACGGTAATGCACAACGCGGGCAGGAGAACAGGCCGAGAATGTATGTATGTATGGAGATGTCTCCGGAGAAAAGGGATCCAAAGCATGGCGGAGGGAAGTCCAACCTGGAACCCGTGCCCATGTTATCTTGCACAAGCCAACCTGGGCCCAAATCCCGAGATGGCCAAAAGCTTAAAACCGAGCTGGAGTGATCCTTAGCTCTAAGCTCTTCTAATCCCTCGAAGTAACCGAGGTGATGTCGAGTATGTATCAAGTCCTCCATGCACGACGCGGACCTATAATCTGCCCGAGAGTGTTTGGTAATGGACCTGAAGTCGATCTCGGCACGAAAAGAAAAGTATTCCTTCAACTGGCGAAGATAGAGGGCTTCGCAGTTGTACACACTAATGCCTTCTCCTAGAACAAAACAAAACAAAAGAATCGACCAGCCCCCTATTTTCCTCCACCGGTCCCCGTAAGGTGGTAAAGAGCGGGAAAGTGACAACAAATTGATCACGAACGAATGGGTCGCGCACGCGCGGGAAAAGTTTGACATTTTAAGGTTGGTACATTTTCGTGTTTGCGCCCAACGTTAATCCATCATGCCATACCCCAGCAAAGTCAATCGCCAAACTCCGCCTGGAGGAAAAAAAAAAAAAAAAATTTGAAAGAGAGTCAGAATCGTAAGAGGTGTTCAGGCGGTCTCGCGTTTTCCCTCCTTGAGTTCCTTCTGTTAGGGAGTTAGTACCCGTACGAGCCCGTGGATGCGGTTATGGGGAGGGGGGGGCAAGGATGGACTGGGCGTACCAAGGCCTTCATAGTTCCGTGAAGAGCATGTCTGGCATTTCCGTTAGCAAGAGCCTTCATTAAGAAGAATGGATGGGCAAGGCAAACCTGTGGTTCCTTCGGAACTTAGGGTCAGTTCCCTTCAGGGAAGGATATCTATAAGTTTTCGGCTTCTTGATGCCGTTCCTGTGCGCTATTTTCCACCAACATCAAATTAGTTCCCCTGTATCTCGAGGGTTCCATCCAGCCGGAATTCTTTCGGAAATACCTTTTGCACTGTTGTTGTGTTGGGATGAGTTCTTAGACTTGGCCATTGCGTGGGGCTGTTGCTGGCAGATGTGTTGATAGCGGTGGTGCTGTTTGTTGAACGTTAATGTGAAGGTGATGTTGGGGGGGTTGTGTGGAGGGCGTTTGTGGGGAGTCACGGTTAGGGCTTGGACCCTATGGCTCGGTCAGGCTGAACTGCTTTGCAGCTTGGCAGCTTGGCATTCTTGGGTTGTTTGCTCTAAGTCTTGGCGGGAGATGGTTTCATAAACTAGGTCTCAAGAAAGGAGCAGCACGCCTGACTTTTGAGACGAGAGATTTGAGGATCGTTATTGGGCGCTTCGCTTGGCGATCATCGCTAAATTGTGAGCGGGAAACGATCCCGATCTTTAAGGAAATATGGGATCTGGTTGTGCGGGTAGATTATTCTACTACCGGTATCCTAGCCATATTGATATTGGGGGTGTCGCCATCGTATCCAATGTATCCCCGAGTATTAATTGGGGTTCACGATTTCGATAGATTTCACTAACGGACAACCCTGGGCCCGATTAACTCCCCTTTTTTAGGTGTTCAACTATATTACCATGCTTTTACACTGTTTTCCAATTTGTTTAAGCAAATAGATATCGGGCTAGTAAAATCATCCTCTCTACCTAATAGGAGAAGAAGATAATCGTTTCTATTATGGAATAGCGGAAGATCACCTGCCACCTATCGTACATGAACTCAATCTCCTAATCCTTCACAACAAGCGGTAGAGCGCTAGAAACTTTAGCCAATCGCTCTGCCCGCATCTTCTTGAACCATCGGAATAGTAGGATGAATATCAGTTCCATCCTAAAATTTCTAAATCAGCACCTGTGCAGAAATATCAAATAATTTCTACGCAATCTTACCTCTCCTTGCTCATCATAAGGACACCCTGGACCAATAACCCTTTCACAAGCTGCGGTCCAATACCCTTGAACAGTCCCAGAGCCCCCTCCTTTTTAACAATCACTTTCATAACTTCCCCAAAGCTCTTGTACGCCTTTCTTCCTGGGGGAGGAGCGCTTTGTAGCCCAACTTTGGCTACAATCAACGGCTGGGTAGCTAGTGTTGCTAAACACTTGCTAAGAGCACCGAGCAAGAAAGCCTCCCCAGGGCTCAGCCTATCCCTTCCGTTGAACAGAATCTGCTTCAACCGCTGGTAACACCCATACGTGATCGCGGGATTAACAACCAACACAAGGGAGGCCTTCAACCCACGCCACAATCCCGATACGCCATCTTCGCCGATGACTTCTTGGGCGGTAGCGAACAAACCAAGCGGTTTCGAGCTATATGGGCGAGTCTGTTGTCTGGTTGTCACAACCGCGACGGGAATAGTGAATATCTGCGCGAGGGCCCCTGCTACTGCTCCTAGAGACAGTTCAACGGCTGTGGAAGGTGGGCCGGTTGTCGACCTGTTCAGGTAGAAATTCCGGACAAGAGTATACCAGTAGAAATATGCAAAATTTGTGCTCGCAACGCCGATTAAGGAGCCTACCATTCCCGTGTAAAGCCCATTGACGCCACTTTGTGCAATGATCTTTTGAATCGCATCGACGGCGGAGGTGTAGATCTCCCCTTCTTCCTCGTCACGTCTAGGGAAACCTCGGTTAGGTTACTGTAGTCGCACTCTGAGCAGAGCGTAACTACCGAGAGAGAGGCTTACCCTGACACATCCCCATTCTCCAGCGACTTCTCCGTGTTTTTCGGTTTTCGATTGACCTGAACTTGAAGCTTTGTCTTCACTCTACCAACAGCTCCAGCCCCCATTAGCCTCTGATTTCCTTAACTAACGGCATTCCTATCCCCCCATCATCAAAAAAATAGAAACGAGAAAAAGGGGAGAAGGGGGGAGCGTACATATCCAAAGGATAGACAGCAGCGTTCGCCAATACTGCACCCGTCGCACCCGTAAGGGCATACCCCCAACTCGGCAATGGAGCTTCCTTTGATTGCCCTGCCATCGGTTTGTACTGGAGCAAAGAAAGGGAGAAGAAAGAGGATTAAACGTTATGACAAGAGCATCTGCGCGGGCCCAAGGAAGCTGGTTGGTGTGGACCCGCGCGATACCGAGGTTGCTCGGGAATAGTTAATTTACCTTGTGGGCGTGTGTTCGAACTATGTCATTGTGGCGTTAGCAGGGGGACATTCTGTGGCTTACGCGGGGGAAGTATAAAGATGACTGGGGCACGAGATGGTGTCAGGCGGTTGTTACGCGGTATCGGGAATTACCGTACTCTGTTACTCTGGGCAATCGTATCGCGGGCCTGAGGCTCGAGTATTTGATCGGTGGATAGGGATTAAGAATCTTTGTAAGCCTTTTGCCTTGTACAAGCTTTGTCTGACGCCGTGGACTGCTGGGGGGTGCTTGTGTTGCGAATGAGAATCTATGAGATGCTGGATGAGGCGTACCGGAGGTCGATTTGGGGTTGCTGCAGGATATCGTCCGTGATACTGGTACCGTTGTCAAGTGCAATCCTCACTTGGCATGCTACCGGTAGTATTGTGACAAATAACGTTCAACGTTCGGAATTTTGGGCTCCTACCAGACCCACACGAGAGCCGAGTCCCACCACACTGTCAGCTGTCACCTAACCCTAAGAAACCACTTTCAATAACTTGCCGCAGCCATCATTTCCATTGCCATGGGTCTCCCTTCAGTTTTTATTCTAAGACTGTTAAGATATCGTTTGGGCGCATAAGGGGTAAGCATCACCTTTTTGGATGTCGTGAGGGACTGTCTGCAATGATCCTGGGAAAATCAGCACCGTACTCATCCATCTTTGGCTTGCGCGAGATAACGATATGGAATGCTGTTGCGGCCCGCCGCCAAACCTTCGAAAATGGTTGCTTTTCTCTGTTTTTATTTGTATAATATTATGAGACTCCGAGGGTGGCAGTGGTATTGAATGCATTTGGGTGTGATTTGGGGTTCCTGTATTGTCTGAGTATCACTTTTCGCCTATAACTGTTACCTGAAATCTACCTTCCATGATACCTCTGGCACGATACCTCATGTGCCCATTAGATCTAGGGGCTCGTGAGCTTGGGGTAGGCGGTAGCAAAGATCGATCAATTATTGCATCAGGCCATGGTGCACAACAATCACTATTGAACATATCACGGGGCACAATTAGGGGGCGAAAGGTTAAAAGGAGAAAATACTGGTAAATTTGGTAGCCACTGCCTAACAAAGATAGCTAGTAACAGTGGAAAAGAAAAGCACAGTCCGCTAGTTTATAGTAATAGCCTCCCAATTTTCGGAATCTCGGAAACCACGAAAGTGGTGCTGTTTAAGTACACCCCTAATTTTTGGCAGGAGGTTGCATGAATTCAGACCAGTGAGAGTTAATCCTGGCCCTCTTGTTATCCCTGGCTTTAAGCTGCCATTCCTCAAGGTTGGCCATGAAGTTCCTGAGTGCGGCTTCCAAGCTTTCATCACGTAGTGAATTCAAGTTAGTATATTCCTGATACAGCACGTGTCACCGCGAATCCCGGATGGGAGGTTGGTCTCATACATCTTCTTATCGTTCGGGTCGAGATAATTGTATTTACCAGGAGAAGTTTCAGTAAAGTAAACGGGACCCAGATTTTCTATAAGGATCTTCTCCAGAAGGGCAGTCTTGGAGCCCGCCCATGGGGGAGGTCTATTGCAGAAAATAGGCAGGTTGTCACGAAGGTATTCACGGAGGATATCGCGGATGGAGTAAGTTGCCAGGATAGGAAGGTCTGTGCGCTGGGAGAAGAGCTTCATGGCGTTGCTCAGGCGGGCCGTGAGAGCACGATCACGGGGCCTTCTGGTGCCTCCGCTCATGGTGGGCATCTCGGAGTCGATGGGAGCTATGGAGATGCTTTAGCCGGAAAATCAAGGTCGAGAGTTTTTCGTATCAGGAAGAGGGAAGAGTGGTGCAGTGATAGAGAAAGAGGAGGGGTGGAAATGGTATAGTATGATATTATGATAGTATTATAATACAAAGAAGGCGTGCAAGAGCCGGCAAAGCGGCGGGGTTTACCCTTCTGCAAGTTTCTATGTAGGTATCATATGATAGCTGGGTTGGGAGAAACCCCCCCCCTCTCTTTTTAGCCCTTTTTATAACGTTTGCGATCTCTTATCCTCTAGAACTTGAAGGAAGGAAGGGAAAAAAGAAAGGCGGAGTCTAGCTTATCATATCTCTTGCGATGGAGTGCTGATACTTGAAATAGGGTGTTAACCCACCGTTTTTTGTGTTCGGAGACGATCCGGGTTTGACATATGTGCAAACAATAAATTTGCCTACTATAGCCGTTTGGATTGTCCGACTGCGTGCTCAGGATTTGGGTTCCGCAGAGAGGTTAGTGTATTCTATTCTATGGGGAATTTCTATGGACCTGAAGGAAAAAAAATCATCTATGATACCCGTCGCTTGTTCCCAACTATGCCCCCTGAGTCCTAAGCGAGTGTTCATCATGCCTAATGTTAACCATAGAGAAATAATTGGGGAAAAAACTGGCTAGGGTAGTTATAAGAACCTTGCTTTTCTCGTTTTTTGAAAGTAGTTATCTTCCCACCACCCGTGATCTCTCACACCTAATGGGCGGTGGCACTCCTGGTCACCACCTCTCAATCGTGCCAAGCCATTTCCGAATTCATGAGCCACGTGACATCCCACTACGATGACATATCGTACTGGTATCATACCCTTTACCTTGCTCTAGCTCGAATACCTTCGCCCCCGTTCAACCACTGAGCAACAACATGAACGACTTTTCTGACATTCCACCGCTCCCTTTAGCGGACTGGGATGTATTAATCTCTGGTACCGGAATCAAACAGTCTCTCCTTGCAGTGTAGTTACTATCATCCCACCTTATCCCATCATCCACCCCCATTTCGCACTCAGAGCTAACATAACCTAGAGCGCTCTGCCGCGCCGGCAAGACCGTCCTACAGCTCGACAAGAACTCCTACTACGGCGGTAGCGCTGCCGCCTTCTACTCGCTCTCTGAAGTAGATGCATGGGTGGCGAAAGTAAATAGCGGGGATGAGGTCGGGATAAAAAATGCTGTTGTTGTTTCGAATGCTGGAGAGGGTGCTGGCTATGGCAGTGGGAGGGGTTATACACTCTCTTTAGCGCCACATTTGGTTTACTGGCACAGCAGTGTGTTGGAAATTCTACGGAGGGCGGACTTGACCGATGGGTTTTCCTGGCATGCGGTTGGGAGTTGGTGGGTGTGCTTGACGGAGGAGGAGGTTGCGGTCCCGGCGGTGGCAACGGGGGTGGGTGGTGTAGTTGGGTTGGCGGAGGTGGGGGTTAAGGCTGCGAAGCTTGCGTCTGCGGCTGGGAAAAAAAGGGCTGGGTGGAATAAAGGGCGGAAGAAAGAGTCAGTTGCTGAAACTACTCCGGGGGGGGGAGAGGAATCGGTAGGGGAAAGGGTCACTCAAGGAAATAGCGAAACCACTCTGAGGAAGGTCGACAATTTTCGGGAGGTCCCCTGCACGTTCGAGGATGTAGCTTGGAGCAAAGACCTCACAGACAAAGACCGAGGGCAGCTCGGCGAATTCCTACGCTTTGTGATGAGATACAACGATCCTACCGACCAAAAGTGTTCTCGGATCTTTGAAGGTGTTCTCCCGTGCTAGCATGAAATACTTCTAGCAAAAAACTAACTATAATATCGCTAGAAAACCGTCAAACATCCCTCCGAACCTTCCTCTCAGAAATTTTCCCAATACCCCCGTTCATCACAACCTCCATCTCCTCACTAACCCTCATACCATCAGCGCCCTCTGAAATAACTCTCGAGCAAGCCCTCCCCCGCCTCGCAGTGCACTTCTCATCCCTGGGAAAAATCCCAGACGTGCGCTCATCCGCGGCACTCACAATCGCATACGGCGGTTCCGCCGAGCTCTGCCAGGTCCTATCCCGCGCGGCTGCTATAGCCGGAGGCATCAATGTTCTCAGCCGAGGTGTCAAGTCACTGTGCTCCAATAAAAAAGGCGACGGAAATCGGAAATTAAAAGCGCAGCTAGAGAGCGGTGAGACGATATATGCTGATTGGGCTATTGGTGAAGCCAGTGATCTGGCAAAGGAGGTTAAACCACTAGATGGGAAATCAATGTCTAGGGGAATTTACGTTATCGAGACTCAGATAGGCTGGCTGTTTGAGCGGAAGTATAAGGATGAGAATATCACCCCCGCCGCAGCGGTTGTGGTTGTCCCTGGCGGTGATAAAGGGGCCCCAGTTTATATCATTGCGAGATCGGGCGTGACGGGAGAGTGCCCAAGAAGTCAATGTGAGTTTTCGAATTTAAAATCCATTGTTATGTCACTGATAAAGCCAGGTTTACTCCACGCGGTCACCGAATCATCCTACGGAGACATGAACGCTGCTATCGATAAGGTTTTGCAAGTGTGCTCGCCCTTGTCGGAAATACTGTACTCTCTCCAGTACACCGCTGTTACCACCAGTCCGGAGATCGGCTCGGAGGATGGCACTGTGATATTGGATCCGTTAACACAGGATATAGCGCTTCAGGACGACGTACTGGAAGAGACGTTGAGGATCTACGAGAGGATTGTGGGGACACGGGAGGGGTTTATGGATGTTCCGGAGGAGATTCGGAGGATGAAGGAGGAGATGGAGGAATAAGAGGCTTTTTTTTCCCGTCCCCATTCGTGAGATGTTTTACGATGGGTTAGATTTGCTGTAGAAGGACGTTTGAGAATTTATATATATATATATTGTAATCGAATGAGAGGCGTGCTAGAGCCTTGGGCACATCTTGTTCGATAGAATCTTGGAGAGATCCTAGGAGTAACTCGACTTGACTGGTGAATAGAAGGAGATTGTATTGGGCTAGACTAAGCCGGATTCTCAAGCCAGCTCTCCCCCAAATCGTCCAATCACCAAATCACACTTTCACAACTGATCACTCGACTCCCCGCATAGCAGCTTTCTCGACCTAGCATGGAATGATACATTTACCCAAAAGCAAGGAGCCACTCAAACAGCAACCGGCCAGCCAGCCCCATCACAAACAACCGCTCTCCTTCCCCTCCTCCCCTCCCTCACTCCCATACCACAGCGCCCCCCTCCCCCTCCTCCTCCCGGGCGCGCCCATAATCGCCTTAACATAACCCCCAAACTTGGTCCTCTCCCACTCCTTCTGCCTCTGTCCCTTGGGGGGCATCCCAACAGCAACATCATGCTTGAGTATGTACTCCTCAAACATGGCATTGAATTCGGCTTCCGTCAATTCCTCCGGCCCCGAAACCTCTTTCACTGCTTTCGGCCGAGGTGGCGGGAGGGATTCGGAGATCGACTTGATGCCCCGTCGGCGAAGCTGGCTGGGTCTACGGTTCGCGTGAAGGTCTCGTACGGAGCATTGGAGCTTTACGGGATCCGTGTAGGCCGATCCGTTGCTAACGGGGGGGTTTACGCCTACGCTTGGGATTGCGGAGGTGGGGGGTGGTTGTGCTGTGGGTACTGGGGCCTTTACCGACATCCATTTCCGGGGGGTGGAGAGCTTGTTGGTGATAAAATGAGTGATGTAGTTTGGTTCGTAGGCTTCTGTGAGGTCTCGCAGTGGCGGGGGTTGTGGTGGCGAAGTTGATGATGGCGGAGGTCCTGCGGGGCGGGATCCAGGGGCTAGGAGGGCGGTGGCGGTGGTGGCTAGTGCTAGGGTGCTGAGGAAGAGGAGGAGGGGGATAGGGGTATGCATTTTGAAATTTCCCCTCTTCGCTCATGGGTGATGGGGGAAGGGGAGGGTGGAGCGAGAGAAGGAGGGTTTTTATTTTCACTAATGCTTACAGGAGTGGTGTAATTTCGCCAATTGATACCAGATTTTTTAAGCGATTGCACTGCGCTCAAAGGTATGATGTGATGGTACGGCTTGGAGTGTGCTTATGCTGCTACCCCCTCCGGGACCCAAACCTTTGTTCCCTTATCAAAACCGCCGGTAACCAGAACCTCCTTCCCGTCGACGATCCCGGTCCACAACGATCTAACCTTCTCGCCGCCTTCCGAAGCCTTTAATCTCGCCACCACCTTCCCAGTCTTCCGCTCGATCCCCCTCACTACTCCGTCGTCGCCATTGACCCATACTCCGTCCCCTCCCACCCGCCAGCCGAACACGGCCGTGCTATACGCGCTTTGCGGTGCACCAGTAAATACCTCCAGGATTACTTCCTCGCTGTCGACCCGAACAAGCAGAAACTTCATGTGAGGCACCGAAGATGTAACTATCCCCAAGAGGGAGCTGTCATTGGGATGTGGGAGAATGGACATTGCATGGAAGGTTACCCATGACGTTGCCGTGGGAGACAGGTTTCGCTTCGAATGCACTGGAAGCGAGGGGGTTAGGAGATGGTAGTTTAGGAAGGTGCTGTCCCGGAGGGAGTAGACGAGGGCTTCCTCCCCGGTTGGGAGGGTAACGAATGATATCCCCTCTGGATGAGCCGAGAGTGGAAGCCTGTGGAGCTCGGATAGCTTCGGCGTCCCCTCGTTTTCGCGGGTTAGAGAATGTAGCACAATGGTATTGTCGTATCCGCTGGTCACCACGTAAGGGAGCCTTTCGTGTGCGAGGACCTTCACAGCGTATTTAGCGTGTGGCTTGTTACTGGAGATGACGTCTCCACTTGCGGCGTCAGATATCGTCACGTGCCCGCTCATTGAAGTGGAGATGAGCCATTCCGGCTGTAGAATCGCGCAGCAGAGGATTGCTGATGAGTGCAGGTGAGCGTAGGATCTCAGTAGCCTGTACGGTGCCCTTGCCGTGTAGATTCTGAGGGCCCGGTCGGCAGTGGTGGCAATCAGGCTGGGCCCGCCGAAGGCGCTGATATCTGCTACCAATACGGAGAGGACATTTGAAGCCGGAATGCCTGGGTCTGATACTAGGTGGGGGATAGAGGGGTCTTTTAGTTGTCAGTTGAGCCCAGTAAGTGATGGAGGAGACAGAGGAGGGGGAATGGGACGGGGTTACAGGGAATGGAGAATTCCGGCTCGTCGTTGTCGGAGATGGCAACTCTCTCCAAACTGAGTGACAAGTCAAACTGGCGCTTCTCATCAAGCACTTTCTCTATAGTCAGACCATCACCCGGTCCAAGATGGAGTGATTTCTCGTCCAGATTGGCCTCTTCAAGGAAGATTTTGAGGGACTAGGAACGGTAGTTAACTTAGTGTTATCGGCCCGAAGCCGGGGAGGAGTGGCGGGAACCTTTTCGTAGCCGTTCGATTGCAAGAAGCGGGCCACAAGGAGCGCGGAAGAGTCGAGTGCGGGCATGGCGGGGGTGACGGATTATCGGGGTAGGATTGTCCGTGCTCCGACAGGATAATATGATATGCAGGATTATGACGCCATGGCCTGTCCAGAGCCCCAATAGTGAGACTCGCTACTGTGCTCGTGCCCTACAGTACTGTACACATCCGCTCATCTCCCCTTCTGCTTTCCTGCCATCCCAGTCGTCTACCGGTATTTTGGGGTAAAGCACGCGGATGGCGGTAGGCTGACCCATTGGATCTCCATCACCATCACCGAAGCTTGTCCGGTAGGCTGCAGATGGGATGGAGCTTGGGGTTCGCTTTCTTCTTGTCCCTCCCTCCCTCCCTCCGCGCCTTGCTGCCAAGGAGCGAATTGAGGCTCAATCGGACCCTAAACCCTCTCTAACCCTAATTCCTTAGCTCCTCCAAGGCATGCCGGTGGCCTCAGCCTACCCCAGCCTGAGGTAAAGAACAACTGTTACCGGAACCCGCAAACACCTCCCTGTGACTTGCCTTACTGCCAAACACCTATCCCACTGCTCTCCCCTTGGACGTGTTCACAACTTAGCCCGAACAAATAGTCCTCTAGTTCCACCCCAAACCCGACATTTGTTCCTGAGGCAGGACAGTATGGCGACAGGGTTCGCTCCCCCTCCGCAGGCCTTCGCCCAGGACGATGTCCAACTGAGTTATAACGATTATCAAGATGATCTTATGGACTATGAGGACGCTTCCGTCCTTCCACCGGCAGCGCAGCAGCAGGCACAGACACAGGCACAAAATGACGGAACCGAAGCTATGGAGATGGACGAACCCGTCTCCGCAAACAGCAATTTAACACCTGAGAAAGTGTATCTAAGAGGCGTGGACAACATGAAGACTAGCGAAGTTAAGGCCTTTGCGAGCGAGCATTTTCAACCAGCACCGACCCGAGTGCAATGGATTGACGATACCTCTTGTAGGTAGCGCTGGGCTTCGTTATCCGGTTATGGGTTAGCTAATGTGAGGTAATGGTAGGCAACCTCATCTATGAATCGTCCGACATTGCACTTGCCGCCCTGGGCTCTCTTGCTTTTGAATTTGCGGAGCTTCCTATCCTTCAGCTAAGGCCTGCTAAGGCGGCGTCCTCACATCCGGATTCCAAGTTGTGCGTTCGGATCGCAAAAGTGGATGATAAGAAAGAACCTGGTGCTCGGGATAGAAGCAGATTTTACCTGTTCCATCCTGAGGAAGATCGCGTGGAGCAGATGGAGCGAAGGTATTCTTACTTCTTTTGAATCCGCCGGTCTGTCCTGCCTAATGAGCCCTATGTTAACCATCCGTTGTTCAGGAAACGCGAAGGCGCCCGCCACAGAGAATACGAGAGACGATATTTCGATTCCCGTGAACACGATCGCCGCCGCAACCACAACCCCGAACAATTTAGCACGGACTTCTACGATGACGATACGGCAACCCGGGAAAGCCGCATCAGCGCCAGGCGATCCCGTAGCTATGATCGGTCAAGGTCCATCTCCCCCCCCCGGAGAAACAAAGAACTGTTCCCTGAAAGGAAGCGGGAGCCAATGGAGGTCGGCCCACGGGTTAGAGGGACCAAGGAGCTATTCCCGGAGCGCGTGGGACCTCTGTTGAGTAGAGACAGAGATCGCGATCCACTGGGCATGGAGCGCGAGGGTTCTAGCTCTAGAGAGCTATTCCCCAACAGGCTCGGTAACCAGCGTTTCAGATCGGATAGGTCTCTACCTCTGCAGAAAGGTATTTCGCCTAGCCCTCCACCCCCTCCGGGGAGGGGTGGTTCGGTGGATGGGCAGCTGGAGTTATTCCCCAAGAAACTGGAGGATCGAATCTCCATGCCCGGAAGAAGTTTGGAGGATAGGATCAACCTTGATGGGACAAGCAATGGAGAAGGGGGCATCAAAATCAGAGGGAGGGGTGTGAAGACCGACAATTTATTCGCGGAAAAGCTAAGGGCTTCTAAAGGCGAAGGGTTGGTGCTCGAGGATAGCGGTGGGAGGAGGAGCAAAGGGAGGAGAAGGGATAAGGCGGAGGATATGTTCAATTGAACAAGATGGCCCCTGAAGTTTTCCTTCTAATATTTCTTGCTCTAGCTTTTTTTTGCCACAAAATCATGTTTCCTTATTACTTGGTGCTGAGTCTGCTTACTCTACATTTGTTATGCCCGAGTAACCAGACATGTAAGCGTTTAGTGGAGAGATACTACCAATGAAACTGAGGGTTCTTTAATCCTTCCGAGTTTCCGGGTTGCGCAGGATGTACACTTTTCTCGGTCTAGTGATTAGGAATAATTGCATTGCCTGGAGTTTGAATTTCTGATAGCATTGGCGTTTGTATAGCTATTTCGCATTCAGGTGTTGTCTCCACAGCAATCATTTCTATCCCACCTGTATCTTAGCTTTGCATAATAAAATTTATGTACCTCAACCTTTGGCAGAGCTCTGCGTCATATGAATAGGGTATTGATTGTAGTATTCAGCCCCGAGTGAATTGCTATCAGCATGACTCTTTCCAAACACCCGGATATCGATAAGGTGGAGTTTTTATTATTTTTATTTTTGGTGAAGGGTGCTGCAGCCAGGCAATGCTATTGTCAGGCTTGCGCTGTGACTCAAGCTCCTGTTGCCATGTATGATACTTTTAAGTACGATAAGCAGCATAAGCAGCCCCACCTGCCATCGTTCAGCCCCGCAAATAACCATTCCATCCTCATCCCTTCCTACCATACTTATTTCCCACACCCCCAACCGTTGGTCTACTTCCTGCTTCAAATTGACATCCTCACAATCCGCCGCCAAAAACCTAAACCATGGCGACAGATACAGCCTCGTCAAACAGTCTGTTCCCCTCCCAGATCTCTATGGTCACACTAGCTAAATTTGATTTTTCCCCGCCAGTGATTGGTCACGAAACGGGCCCCATTACACCAGACCCTGGCCCTGGCCCTTCGACGGAGGCAAGAGTGGCTGTTCAAGATGTCGTGAATACTGATGCTGAGACCGCAGGTCCACCAAAGCCAAAGACTGAAAAAGAGCGTATGAACACCCCCCTATTCTTTGATAGTGGCATATTGAAGGAAGGAGCGGGCGGTGGCTTATCGTGCGTGTTCGGGATAGTTGAAAAGGAACGCAAGAGAGCCGAAAAGGAGGCTAGGTTTGCCGCGAAAAAGGCAAAGGCTGACGAGGCTAAAAAGAACGCTCCTCCAAAAGCTGGGAAAAAAGAGAAGAAGGTAGAGACTGCTGCTGAGCCATATGTAGAGGAGACTCCTGCAGGACAGAAGAAGAGTGGGTTACACCGTTCACTTATTATTATTATTATTTTCCGGAAATTGAAGGGCTGAGATAGGGCGACAGTTCTGAAATCTCTTGATGATCCGGCGTACAAGTCTTACAATCCGGAGGTTGTCGAATCAGCGTGGTACGACTGGTGGGAGAAGGAGGGATTCTTCGAGCCGGAGTTCACGTCTGAAGGTGGAATTAAGCCGGAGGGGATGTTCATGGTTCCGGCTCCTCCACCAAATGTTACCGGCGCTTTGCATATTGGGCATGGCTTAACCATCGCTATTCAGGATACCATGATCAGATGGTTTGTCGCCTCAATTCGGTGAGGGGGATAATTGGGCTAATGGTTTCGTAGGAATCGGATGCTGGGGAAGACGGTCCTTTTCCTGCCTGGATTCGACCACGCAGGTATTAGCACGCAGAGTGTGGTTGAGAAAATGCTTTGGAAGAAGGAGAAGAAGACCCGACACGATCTTGGGCGGGAGGTATTCACAAAACTGGTGTGGGAATGGAAAGAGGAGTACCACACCAGGATCAAGAACCAGCTCAAGAAAATGGGGGCGTCTTACGATTGGACCAGAGAAGCCTTCACCATGGACGAGAACTTGTCAAAGGCTGTCGCGGAAACTTTTGTCCGTCTACATGAGGAGGGGATCATCTATAGGGCCAATCGTCTCGTCAACTGGTGCTGTAAACTCAACACTACCCTATCAAACTTAGAGGTGGACAACGTCGAGCTCAAGGGCCGTACAATGCTTTCGGTTCCGGATTATGACGAAAAGGTTGAGTTTGGTATGATTGTATCTTTTGCGTACCCTATCGAGGGTAGCGATGAGAGGATTGTTGTGGCAACCACCCGTCCCGAGACAATGTTAGGAGATAGCGCTATCGCCGTCCATCCAGATGACGAGCGCTACAAGCACCTCCATGGCAGGTGTGCCAAGCATCCTTTCATTGATCGCCTACTCCCTATTATCACCGATACGTATGTTGAGAGGGACTTTGGTACCGGCGCTGTCAAAATCACCCCTGCGCATGACCCTAACGATTATGCCCTTGGCGAACGGCACAAATTGGATTTCATCAACATTCTGAACGATGACGGCAGTTTTAATGAGAATGCCGGCGAGCATTTCAAGGGAATGAAGAGGTTTACTGCTAGGAAAGCTGTCGTCGAGGAGCTGGAGAAGTTGGGACTTTACGTGGAGACGAAGGATAATCCCATGAGCGTGCCGCTGTGTAATAAATCGAAGGATATAATTGAGCCCAAGATGAAGCCACAATGGTGGGTACGACAAAAGGCCCTCGCTGATACCGCTATGGAAGCTGTGCGCAATGGCGAGATCAAGATTAGACCTGCCACATCTGAGAAGGATTTCTTCATCTGGCTCGAGAAAATTCAAGATTGGTGTATTTCTAGGCAGCTTTGGTGGGGGCATCAGGCGCCGGCTTGGTCCATTCACTTTGAGGGTGAAAATGTCGCCGATTTTGACTACACTAACAATGACAACTGGGTGGTGGCCCGCACTGAGGAGGATGCCCAGGAAAAGGCTGCGAAGCTGAACCCCAACAAGAAGTTCACTTTAGAGAGAGACCCTGATGTCTTGGATACCTGGTTTTCCTCTGGTCTTTGGCCGTTTTCTACCTTGGGCTGGCCCGAGAAGGTATTTCCCGCCTGTGATTTTGTACCCGCTGTTACTGATGATTGCTTGTAGACACCAGACATGTCAAACTTTTACCCCAATTCTCTCCTCGAGACCGGATGGGATATCTTGTTCTTCTGGGTTGCCCGCATGGTCATGCTTGGTATAAAAATGACAGGAAAGGTCCCTTTCAACGAGGTTTTCTGTCACTCGCTTGTGAGAGATTCAGATGGCCGCAAAATGTCCAAGTCGCTCGGAAACGTTATCGATCCGTTGGACATCATTAGTGGCATCTCACTAGATAAACTGCATGCAAAGTTACTGCTAGGAAACTTGGATCCCAAGGAGGTGGCGCAAGCAACCAACTACCAAAAGACAGCTTTCCCGGATGGCATTCCTCAATGCGGTAGCGATGCAATGCACTTCGCCTTCTGCCATTACACCACTGGTGGTAGGGATATCAACATGGATATTAAGGTTGTTGATGGTTACAGGAAATTCTGCAACAAGATGTATCAGGCTACTAAGTTTGCTTTGATGAGATTGGGAGATGGCTTTGTTCCCAGACCTGACTCCAGGAAGACCGGCAAGGAGTCCTTGGTTGAGCTGTGGATATTACACAAATTCAATAAGGCCGCTGAGAATTCCAATAAAGGATTAGAGGAGCGCAACTTCCTCTTGGCTACTGACGAGATTTACCGGTATTGGCTATACGAGCTGTGCGATGTGTACATCGTGAGATTCCCAAACCTATCTCTTCGGATTATAAACTAACAATTGGGGGAATGAAGGAAAACTCGAAACCCCTTATTTTGGAGGGCACTGAAGAACAGAAACGTTCGGCTCAAGACACCCTGTACACATGTCTTGAGGGAGCGCTGCTGTTGATCCATCCTTTCATGCCGTTCGTTACGGAAGAGCTCTGGCAGCGCCTCCCAAGGCGTCCCAATGACACCAATCCAACCATCGTCAAGGCTGGATATCCAAGATACACCGAGGAACTAGATAACCCCAGCGCTGAGAGGTCTTATGACCTCGCATTCTCTGTCGTCAAGGGTATCCGTTCAATGCAAGCTGAATACGGGGTGAAAGACAAGGCAGAAGGTAATTTTCCCCACCACCCGTCGTTATGACTAAACCGCTAACTATCCCTAGCATACATCCATGCTAAGGACGCCGAAACCTTCTCTACTACCTCGGACCAGAAGCCAAGTATCTGTGCACTCGTCAAGGGCCTTGAATCACTCCGAATCCTGGGAGAAAATGATTCGCTCCCAGAAGGTTGTGGCGCTTTTGTCATTTCAGAAATCTGTACTGTGTACCTTCTCGTTAAAGGCCGCATAGACGTCGATGCAGAAATTGGGAAGACAAAAAAGAGGATCGCAAAGGCGGTTGAGAGTAGAAAGAGGCTAGAGAAGGCTCGCGCTGTCAAGGACTATGTCATAAAGGTGAGGGCTGAAGTCCAGGAGGCGGACAGAATCCGACTCAGTGAGATGGTGGCGGAAGAGAAGACTCTGCAGGAGCTAGTGGCGAAATTCGAGGGGCTACGGACATGATATAGTGGTGTCCCATTTTTTCTTTTTTCTTTTATGCTGTTGGGTGATTTTCCGGTAGAGTGTGAATAAAATGTTCATTGCCGTCTTTCTCACCCGAGTGAGGCTTGGTGATTTTCGTGGGGTGTATCTGAGTCGCAGGGCAGGGATGGATTCTGCGGAGTACCGCTCGAGCGCCCTCCGGCTTGCGGTTCTTTTGAAGCTTGCATTTTTATGATGGCCCCGATCCTATTGTAGACGCCTTGATACTGGACTGATCGCTCGTCCCCGAGGCAAGTACCTGAGGAATTCCAAGATCCCGCCAGGCGCCGAGCCGCCCTCATAAAGAACCCCAGCGAGCCCCCCCCCCAACCAACCAACCAGACAACGACATCGGACCGCTACCAGCACAGCACAGAGCACCCTCATATTTTTCCCAAAACATCTCCGCAGAATCCCCCACATTCATACTTGCCCAAATTCCGAATCCGAAAAAGTGGTAGCATGGTATTGGAATTCTCGTCCATGGTGTTTTTTCATGTTGGAGTTTGGGCGTTTATTCCCTTCCTTTCCTCTTTTCTATTTATTTTTATTACCTGTACTGTACTATACTTGTATTACACGTCGGGTCGCTAACTCTCGTGCTTGCTTTGTTGGCGAGGGAGGGGGTGGTGATGTCGGTGTGATAGATAGATAGACAGCGGTATGAGAATACCATATGTATCATACCAAATACATGCTATTAGGAAACCTAGACTTGTCTACTGGGGTACCGTACCGCACAGCATCTCACACCTACCAACCGTATGATACCCGAGCGCCGGTATAGCGTCAGTGGAGGTGACCAAGTAACCAGACGGCGCCGGCACTAGCTATCATATCATAGGTGCGGTATGGGTACGACACGATATCAGTCCCAGCAGTTTGTCCAATTCGCTACGATACTATATGCATAATGGAAAGTAGGGTATCTGAGCACAGCACAGCATCACCAACCCCTCACTCTTGATCGCTGTGAATTTCTATGACACGCAAGAGAGAGAGAGAGAGAGAATGAAGCTTGATCCTTTTCTGCCGCATAGACTACCATTGCGGGTTTACATCATAAACCCAAAAGAAACCGAGAAAAGAGAAGAACCGAAGAGGACCGAGGAATTCCGAGGCTGGTATGATATGATAACCTCGGAGAAAGGGGAAAGAAAAGAAAAGAAAAGAAATACCCGAGGAAGTCTCTGAAAGGGAAATACTAAGTTACATATGAGAACCTCGGAGGAAGAGAAAGAAATGCGAAACGGAAAAGGTATCATACCATGACTGTGTATAGCATGGCTTGTGATATTGTGAGACGAGCATGGAGGTGAAAAGTCGAATGAAGTCTAAAGGTGAGGGGAGTAGTGGGAAATTATGATACTCGAGTATAGAGAGCTTGGCACAATAGAGAGTTTGCGGTGAGGGACCCAGGTGGGAGTTAAGCGAAAATAGACCTAGGTGTGAAAAAGAGTTTGCGCTACAGGTGTAGGTATCTTGGAGGCCGGGTGACCAGTAGAGAGGTAGATGAAAAAAGCAGTTGCTGTGACAGTATGATTATCATCAACCACATATTCTTCACTCAAGGCCCAAATATTTAAGCTCATGCTCGCTGCACAATACCTGTACAATCGGAATGCCCGACGACTTGCCATCTTCCAGCAACTACGAAGAGCTGTAGCTTGAAACAATAGCCACAAGAGAGGAGCTATGTGAGAGGGGGGAAGAATTAATCTAGAGACCCTTACTGAAGGGGAATGGTGAAATTTGTTTCAGTAAGCTTCAGAATAGAAATTGTTTTAAAAAGATTTAAATATATACTAGGAAATAAAATCTAATAAATGAAAAGCTTTACAGAAACAGAAGTCGAGGAGCTGGTTCTAGTATTACAGTTACCAGAAGTTGTCAGAGCTGATAATGGTATTGTCGAGGATCCTAAAACTGTATTATGCATGTTACTGGCACGTCTGACCTATCCAAATTGTCTCTCTGATTTGACTATAAAGTTTGGATGGCCTATAGAGCGTGTTTCTGTAATGGGCAGGGTCTGAGGGTCGGGTAGCCCAAGGCACACAGGTGATCAGGACAGGCAGGATTCTGGAGACGAGGTCTAGGTGTGGGGGTACAACCCAAGTGAGTTGTATGAGGCTCGGGATTCAGGAGTTCGGGGTCAGGGTTCAGGGGTTCAAGAGGACGCCAGATGATAGAGAGTGTAATTCCTAGGTATAGGTGTCTGAATTC